TCTGGACACGCATTATAGTTGACGGGCCCAAACAAATACCAGGGGATTCTGGACACACATTATAGTTGACGGGCCCAAACAAATACCAGGGGATTCTGGACACACATTACAGTTATAAGTTGAATCTTTGCTTTTTCCCTTTTCGCAGAGTAATCTGCACTTTTTTTGATTGTTTTACCACTTGTACCAATTTTGCATTTTGTTGGCAAGTGTTCAAAATCTTTAGCTTTTGGTGATTTACATGTGATGGAGTTGGTAAAAGGTCCTTTTTTGTCATCAGAAGAAAATCATTCTGTCATTTTGTTGGCAAATGTTCAACATCTTTAGCTATTGGTCATTTTCTTGCAATAGAGATGGTAAAAGCTCCTTTACTGTCATCAGGCCAAAATCATACATTGTTGTTCTGTTCCCAGAGTCATTTGTAATATATGAATACAAGTTGTCTTATCCCACCTTCTGGTTTGTCTCGAGCAAGGATAATATGATAACATCTGATCTTGCCTATCGATTCCACCGATATATACACATGGAAATATGAAGAGATCAAGTAGTTGGTGATCCACACGTGTGTCGTGATCATTTGTGAATGAATACTAAAAGTGCACGTGTACATCCTCAGTAGTGAACATGTTAAAAGTTATCTGAAAATCTTAATTTATACTTGCACTCCACTAGTGGACTTGAAAAACTTCTTAGATAAGATCTTGTTTATTTATCTCATACAACAAAAAATTCTTGGTTTAAAAAACATGCAATAAACTACTTGAATCGCCTGTCATTACTAGCTAACTGTATTTATAATAATCACCTACTGAGAATGAAAATAAATCTACACACCTGTTGGAAATGTTCTAGCACTTGCTGATGCATTGAAGCCCTGAAGCTACAAACCTTACAGACATACGGCATTTCACACTCTACATGCACAGATTTCATATGAGCACACAGAGTAAATCTGGATGAAAAAGCCTGATTACAAATATGGCAAGTTGAAGCATCCATCTTCATATGCACCTGTAAACCATACACAAGGCAACATTCACAACTTTACATCTCTCTACTATAATCGTTTTAAACATGAACTCAATGCTTTTACTGCATTAAAAGTCTAACAAATTTCATAAAAAAAAACACTTATTACTAAAGAAATGAGATGTTTCTACAGGTATCTGGAACTGCAAAACTACAGTTTATTATTTTATTTATAACACGCATATATCAACATTATACTGGAGCAAATATATAGATTCATAGACACTCTTTCACATTCTTTAAAATCAAACAAAAATTACAAGTACGACACAGTAGATATTAGATTTAACATGTTTAAACAATATTTGTAATTCTATGAATTGATGAGTGAAGAGAAAAGAATAAGAATTATTTTTTTAACCTTGGCAGATCACAATGGGATCTATACTATGCTGTCACTTCCTTTAATAGTGTTTCATTCATTCGCATCATCCACTGCCAATTTGGTTTTTCATTAATTACACGACTCATCAGGCTGATTGTAATATGTAAGACAAATAGTGGTCTGGATAGTAGTTAAATCATCAATTTTCATGAACTAAATTAATTTAGTAAATTATAATAATTATCAATTATATTTAACTTTCTTGTGAGTCAGATTTTTAAGTGTAAAAACTAATAATATTATTTTATTTAAAATTAATTTAGTAACGACAGTCAAATCAACATATTTTAACAAACATCAGATATTAGTAGGCTGCTACCATCAAAACATTATGAATGAACACAACTCCAAGTTGGAGAGTGAGTATTTTACCGTTTCAATGTGACACTGCATGCTGAAGGGTGTCTCAAAGTCTCTGAAACAGTACTTGCACTGCGTGAGGTCACTCAAGTCTGGGTTTTTCTGTCGTGTGTTCTCAATGTGACAATTTATGTGCTTCATGACTTTAATGTTGTTGTCTAACACCTTCTTGCAAAAATGACACTAAATAAAAACAATAACTCTTAACAGATTTCAATTTGTTTCCTATATAATTCAACAACAGTTACAAGTAAAGATTTCTTTAAAGCTAGTTGAGGGAGGGGGTTAGCCCCGAGAGATAAATTTTGAAAAGATTCCATACTATAAAATAAATATTCAGTAGTTAATAAGTAATGAATATATATCTTGACACACTTCAAAATAACCAGATTCCACAATTTCTATGACTTTTTAAACAGTATTTTCCTTTGTTAATTGTTGGGGGGGGGGACATTATTAAACCTTCTGATATATGAGAAAGTATGATTTATGAATTATACAAATGTTCTTAAGACATGAAATAAATCCCCCACAATAAAATGAATATTTTGAATACAAAAAAAAGTTAGTGGGCAATGACTCATCAACAGTGACTGACAATCATTTTGAACCATGGTGGGTTAACCTTCTCCAGATAGGTCAAGGGTCAAAGGCCATATCATCATACTTATTGACTTGCATCCAAAATTTTATTGAACTACTATTTAATGAATTTATGTTAATAAGTTTGGTATGAAACTGTAGATTATAATCCAAATTTTTGTATTATACATTATTTAATTTCTTGATTTAAAAATAAATATTAAAACAACACAGTTAAACATCGATTTATGTGTGTCACATGGTATGTTGAATGCAGCACTGGTTCAAATTAGATGTTTGTGATGCCATAATACTAAAATCTATAGTTTTGTATGAGTCAGGAACTCAAATTACTGATATTGACAAGCTAGAACCTCGTATCTTTTCTATTTGCAGAGATATCACTCAGGTAATAAACAAAACACAGTGGCACCCTGGTCATCTCTTTCTATTTTTGGAAACGTTCCCTTATATCCACTTACTTCAATATACGACCTGTGAATAACT